ATAATCAGTAACAATAGACTCTCCTTAAGATTCAAGTGAATTAAGAATGTGGTTGATTTGTTTACCAAGTCACTACCTAAGGCCACATTTGAAAAACATGTGGAAAGCATTAGAATGCGGAGACTTTCCAAACTCCCTTGATTAACCTACGTATTAGGGGGAGTAGTAGACAAAAAGGGGAGTCTACTATGCATGTGATATTGGTATGTTGTGCTCTTTCCTTCAACCAAGCTTTATTTTTCCCATTTGGTTTTGTTCTTTGGTGTAAGATTTTGGTGAAGCAACAATTTAAATATCATCTTGTTTTTCTTAACTCTTATGTTTGATGTACCATATGAGGGAACACTAGACAAAAGGAATAGTCTATAAATGGGTGCATTGTACTCTTTCATCCGTCCTATTTTCATTTTTTTCCATTGGATTTTTATTTTGACGTAAGGTTTTAATGAGACAATAGTTGTGCACCATCACTTATTTGACTCAACATAAGGGGAGAGTATTGTAGGATAAATGTATCATCGTCAAAAGGATATGAAGATAGAAGTATGATCTTACATTTATATCGAAGTTTTCTAACCTTTGTGATTCTATAGCTTTGCATAAATATTTTCAGTACTTTTTGGTTATTTTTGCAAGGTACATTCAATTATTTTATTTTTGTATCTTAGATGTGATATCTTAAAATTTTAGGTATCTAGCATACTTAATAAATCGTAAATACAAAATAAATCAAGTTTTTTGTGCACATGAAACCGATTTAAAAAATAGTTATTACAGATATTGAATCAGATTTATCATTTAAAATTAATAATACAAACATTGAATTTTTATTTAATAAAAATGATGGTACGGATTTTTTTATTAGTCATCAAAACATAAAAAAAGTTGACGCTATATCAACACAGGGTTTTATAAACCACCCTATTTTTACAAACCATCGGGTTTTAGAGTATCTCCAATAGATTCTCCAAAAATGTAGAATCAAAAGTCAAAATAATTAAAGAAAATGATGTTCATCTTCAACAGCTTCTCCATTCTTGAGATTGCAAAAAGAATTATGTTGTTAAAATATTTAATACATTTTATAAAATATTATTTGTTTCTCCTATATAAATTCAAGGATATCATTGGTAAGAAAAAAATAAAAAACAATTTTCTCTTTCATAAGTAATCACTTTTTGAGAGTTCTTCAAATTTGGAGAATTTCACCATCTTTCTCTTGCTTTCTTCATTTTGGAGAATATTAAAACAAAAAAACCCAAAATCTCTATATTGAAGAATCTATTAGAAAAGCTCTTAAATAGTAAGGCACATAACCCATTTTCCTGCTCCTTAATCATTTGGTTTTATTTGCAAGTCCTTACTTTTATTTTTGTAACATATCATGTGTTATATCGGGTGTAAATAATTGATGTTAGAGTAAATTACTTTCCTGGTCCTTGTTGGCATAATTTAGAATGTGAGCAGTTGGTTGTTTTATTTGTTTTGCATGTTTTAGTTGTCTGAATCAAAGGCCATGTTGGCTAGTTATTTCCTAGTATTTAGCTTAGTTGAAATGTGGAAGTTTGTTTTCCCATTTTTCTTTAGTGGTGGTTTATTTAAGAAGTAAAACTCTGTTTTTAGTGCGTGCAGAAATTGAGAGAGAAAAACTTTGCCCCATCTCTTCTTCTCCATTAACTGTTACTGTGAGTGTTTTTTTTTTGTGTGATCTGATCCATTTTTTCTGCTAACATTTGGTATCAGAGCCAGGTTCCTATGCAAGAACAACCCGAGTAGATGGTAGATAAAAGCGATAAGAACGAGAAGGAGAACCCGATCACCCTTCACTACCCTATGTTGACGCGAAGCAACTACGCCGCTTAGGCTATCAAAATGAGAGTCTTTATGCAAGCCCAGGGAGTATGGGAAGCCGTCGAACCCAGGACTCAAAATACAACAGTCGATGTGAAGAAGGATAAATTGGCACTTGCAGCCATTTATCAAGGGATTCCGGAGGACCTGCTGCTGTCATTAGCCGAGAAGCAAACAACAAAAGATGCATGGGGTACCTTGAAAACCATGTTCATGGGAGCCGATAGAGTCAAGACTGCGAAGGTCCAAACTTTGTAGGCGGAATTCGAAACACTCAACATGAAGGAAACGGAGGTAATAGACGATTTTGCTATAAAGGTGAACAACATAGTCAGTAATATTCGAGCCTTAGGTGAGAAGGTGGATGAGACTTACGTTGTGAAAAAGTTACTACGTGCCGTCCCGAGCAAGTTCTTGCAAATTGCTTCAACCATAGAGCAGTTTGCAGATCTCGATAAGATGACTGTTGAAGAGGTCATAGGTCGATTAAAGGCACACGAAGAAAGAGTACGCGGGCAAGGCGAAAGCAGTGATGGGAAGTTGCTGTTAACATATAAGGACTGGGTCGAGAAGACTAAGAAAAAGGTTGACGATGAGCAAAAGAACTCCCATGGTAGTTCACGATCGAGTGACTCTAATTCACGAGGTCGTGGAAGAGGTCGTGGACGGGGTAGAAGCCACTCCAATCGGGGTGGACGTCGTGGTGGTGGCTCTCAACAAAACCGAGACGGGGATCATGGGTCATCAAGTAATCGCAACAAAAATAAGATTCAATGCTATAATTGTCAAGACTTTGGCCATTTTGCATTTGAATGTAAAAACCCACAGAGAGAGAGGGATAGAAATCAAGAGGCAAACGTAACACAAACGGCGAACCGGTACTTCTGTTAGCGGTCTCAAACACCACCTATGAGGTAAGAGAAGAGGTTTATTTGAATGAGAAGAAGTTAACCCCAAAGTTAAGGTCCTCGAATTAAGAAGGCAACGTATCGAAGGTTTGGTATTTGGATAACGGTGCGAGTAATCATATGATGGGAGATAAAGGGAAGTTCAACGATCTCGATCAGTCAATCCAGGGTTATGTCCGTTTCGGTGATGACTCAAAGGTTCGAATAGAAGGAAAAGGGTCCATCATTTTTATGTGTAAAAATAGGGAGAAACGGGTGTTACGTGACGTGTACCATATCCCGAGCCTATGCAATAACATCATAAGTTTGGGACAACTTGCAGAAGATGGAGATAAGGTGTTACTGGTTGGTTCGTATTTATGGGTTTATGATAAGGCTGAGAAGTTACTAATGAAGGTGAGGCGCTCCCTAAACCGGTTATACAAGATAATTCTAAATGACACTAATCCACTTTGTTTGCTTAATGGATGTGAGGAATCTTCAAGACTTTGGCACACACGCCTTGGTCACGTAAACTTCCAGAAGCTAAAAGGAATGTATGAAAAGAACTTGGTGTATGGGCTGCCAAAAGTTGAGCAGTCTACGAGGTCATGTAAGGGCTGTTTGGAGGGCAAGCAGACACGAAAACCGTACCTGTCACAGGCAAAATATAGGACTCAAGTAAGGCTGGAACTCATTCACGCTGACCTTTGTGGTCCGATCTCACCGGCTACACCATCCGGTAACCGTTATTTTATGCTATTGGTAGATGATTTTAGCCGTGTAATGTGGATTTATTTGCTAAAAACAAAGGATGAGGCATTTGGAGTTTTCCAAAAATTTCGTGTATTGGTTGAAAATGAAACAGGTAACAAGATTAAAACTGTGCGAACCAATCGAAGGGGTGAATTCCTCTCGAAAGTCTTTACAGCTTATTGTGATGAAATGGGCATCAAACGTCGGTTCACGGCACCTTATTCACCGCAACAAAACGGTGTTGTGGAGCGGCGGAATAGAAATGTGATTGAGATGGCAAGAAGTATGATGAAAGGTATGAAAGTGCCCGATTCGTTGTGGGGTGAAGCAGTTCGCCAGACTGTCTATGTTCTAAACCGAGTCACTACAAAGGCTCTTGGTGATATGACACGATATGAAGTTTGATCTGGAAGAAAGCCAAATATCGGTCACATTAGAGTGTTTGGGTGTATGGCACACTCTAAGGTATCAAAAGATCATCTACGAAAACTTGATAGCAGGAGCGAAATGCTAGTACATTTGGGAACAGAAATGGGCAGCAAGGCTTATCGTCTACTTGATCCGGTCACGGGTAGAGTTCGGGTTAGCCGGGATGTTGAGTTTGATGAAGATGAAGCATGGCCATGGGCTGAAACAGTAAGGTTTAAAGAAACTCCAACTAACACATTGACTATTGAAGGTTACGGAGGTGAAAGCGTAGGAGCCGAAAATGGTGATCTAGTTGAGCCACTCACTGATTTCGAAACACTGGGTGGTCAAGAAAACCCCGCAACTCCTCGAAATCAGTCCCTTGGTGAACCTCAATTACATGTTGGTCATGATGGGCCATACTCAGCTGAGTCTCCGATTACCTCAGTGGGTTCGTCTAGTGCCGCATCAAGTTCAACGGGAGGCGGAGCACCTAAAAGGTATAGGAGCCTTGCTGAGATATATGAGGCAACCGATCAGATAGAATTGGAACCCGATCAACTCATGTTCATGCAGGATGTAGATGATCCCACAACGTATTCGATGGCTGCTAAAGATCGAGAATGGGTAAAAGCAATGGAGACTGAGTTAGATGCAATTGAAAGAAATCAGACCTGGAGTCTAGTTGATCTACCTGCAGGTCGAAAACCCATTGGACTTAAATGGGTATACAAGCTGAAACGGGATCCAAGTGGTAAAATTCTGAAACATAAGGCGAGACTAGTTGCTAAAGGGTACGTCCAAAAGCCCAGGGTCGATTTTGATGAGGTGTTTGCACCGGTAGCTCGCCTAGAAACCATTCGGATCATCTTAGCCCTCTCAAGTTCACATGGATGGAAAATACACCATTTAGACGTGAAGTCAGCGTTTCTTAATGGCACTTTGAACGAGGAAGTTTTTGTTTTACAACCGGAAGGTTTTGTCAACGATAAATGCCCCGGGAAGGTGTTTAAGATATCAAAGGCACTCTATGGGCTTCGATAAGCCCCTAGAGCTTGGAATTCAAGGCTTGATAAATGTCTAAAAGGGCTAAACTTCATGAGATATGGGCTGGAACATGCTGTGTACACAAGAAAACAACATGGTAATGTCCTAATAGTTGGTGTTTATGTTGATGATTTAATTGTCACAGGAAATTGTGATGGTGATGTCATGCATTTTAAGCAACAAATGAATAAAGAATTCGAGATGAGTGACCTTGGTTTACTCTCATATTACTTGGGAATCGAAGTGACTCAACATGAAGATGGTATCACACTGAAACAAATAGGTTATGCAAGAAATGTTCTTACAAAGGCTGGAATGGCAGAATGCAATCCATCACAATTTCCTAGGGAACACAAAGAGGAGCTTACGAAGGATGAAGAAGGAGTTCCGATTGATCCGACACTGTTTCGAAGCATTATCAGAGGCTTAAGGTACCTCACACACACCCGACCCGACATTGCATATGCTGTCGGAATTGTGAGCAGGTTCATGGAGAAACCTATAGTAAAACATATGCAAGCAGTGAAGAAGATCTTGCGGTACGTTAGAGGAATAGTTGACAATGGTCTCGTGTATACCAAGTATCATAAAAGTGATACAATCACAGGATATTCTGACAGTAATCATGCGAGAGATGTGGAAGATAGACAGAGTACGGGTGGAATGGCATTTTACTTGGACGAAAACTTGATTACTTGGGGCTCAAAAAAACAAAAATGTGTGGCGTTGTCCTCATGCGAAGCTGAGTTTATGGCTGCAACTACCGCAACGTGTCAAGGTATTTGGGTTAGCCGGTTGATTCACGAGATAACCAGGAAGAAAGCTGGTCCTGTCACGCTATATTTAGATAACAGATCAACTATAGACCTGATCAAAAACCCGGTATTCCATGGAAGGAGTAAGCATATCGACTTGAAGTATCATTTTATAAGAGAGTGTGTTGAACGTGGGGATGTGGTTGTTAAGCATGTTTGCAGCAAGGAACAAAGGGCTGACATTCTCACGAAACTGTTACCTCGAATTCAGTTTATAGAAATGAGAAAGCTACTAGGAGTTAAGAGCATATCAGATTCTAAATTAGGAGGGAAAGTGTTGGCATAATTTAGAATCTGAGCAGTTGGTTGTTTTATTTGTTTTGCATGTTTTAGTTGTCTGAATCAAAGGCCATGTTGGCCAGTTATTTTCTAGTATTTAGCTTAGTTGAAATGTGGAAGTTTGTTTTCCCATTTTTCTTTAGTGGTGGTTTATTTAAGAAGTAAAACTCTGTTTTTAGTGCGTGCAGAAATTGAGAGAGAAAAACTTTGCCCCATCTCTTCTTCTCCATTAACTGTTACTGTGAGTGTTTTTTTTTGTGTGATCTGATCCATTTTTCTGCTAACAGTCCTGTGGTTTGAGGTTTGTTTGATTAAGGTCCCTAAAACGCGTTGATTACACTTCTGGTGAAGTGTGGTATCCAAAAACGCACGTTCCAAGTCCCTCATGCTTACGGATTTTGTTAGTCCAGTTAAGTATAAGGATACTTTTGTCTATTTATACCTCTTGTCTTTTTCATAAAAGAAAATTAAAAAAATATATTAGATATAATAAAATTATATATATATATATATATATATATTATACATATATAGATACAGAGAGAGCGAAACCCATGGGATCCCCCATCTCTGTCAGCTTCTTCTTCCCTCCCTACCTTGTTCTCCAAAACCCATTCCCCACATCCAACTTTTCTCCCTTCTTTCTGTATCTTCTTTTTGATGTGTATGAAAACGAAAATAGAGAAGAAAGTGGGAGAAGGGGTGGACTTTGTTTTACAAGACAAAGTAAGGGAACAAAGCATGAAAACAAAAGGTTATAGGCTTTGGTTTTGATAAGAACATAATGGGAGAACAGTGAGAGATTTGTCCATTGGAAGGACGGGGCTTTAATTGCAAGGTTGGCAGAAGGTTTGGGTTTTTATTTTACAGGATAGATCATCGGAGTCTCGGAGACTTCTAGATGGGTTTCATGGTAAGAGTTGGTTGAAGATATTTCAAGTTGGGGACAGGGTAGGGAGGTGGGTTCAGGATAGATGAACGATATGGCATGTTAAGAAGAGACAAAGAAGATGACCGTGGTTTTGCGTGTGTACGAGAACGGAGATGGAGATGAACTCGTTGGGAATGATGGGTTAGCCATAGAAGGAAGTGGGTGGTGTTTCACGTTGCTTCTACTATGATCCCACATAAAACATAGGTCGATAATAGGATGAGACCAAAGATGGGTTTCACGATGGGGGTGGGGAAGGTGACTGTGGGTTGTATGCGTGTAAGAGATTGAAGATAGAGAGAGAGAGAGAGAGAGAGAGAGAGAGAGAGAGAGAAAGAGAGAAAGTAAAGAGAGGTGGCTGGAGGTTGGCCAATGATGGTGTTAAAGGAAAGGAGCAACAGAGAAAAGTAAAGAGAGCTGGCTGGAGGTGGTGCCAGAGATTAATCGACGGTGGTATTAAAGGAAAGGAGTGGCGGCTCTATGTGTCTTATATATACATACATGTATGTGTGTGTGTGTATATATATATATATATATATATATAACATAATAAAACAAAATAGTAAAAAGACAAAACAAAAAGGTAAAAGACGAAAATGGCTCTTGAGTTAAGTAGGTTAACGATTTCCGTTAGAGGGAGGGACTCATATCATGCGTTTTTGCATACCACAGGGACATACAACGTAAAAAACGCGTTTGAGGGACTGTAGTAAGGAAAACCAAAAAAATACATGGACGAGGAATGTAATTTACTCCTGATGTCATTTTGGAGCACTTGATATATATAGTGTCATGTTTTTACTCATAATGATAGTAGTTAGGTCAAGATCCAATGTGAGAGACCAGGTAGTGGGGCCAAATTTGTAGCACAAATGAGTTGGGCCTTAGTCATTTTATATAAATAGAGTTGAGAGTGATTATCTATCTCATTGTAGTCTTCAAGGAAAGGAGGGAGCGTTTGAGCTCTTCTTTATGAAACAAAGGAGAAGAAGCAAGTGAAACTTAGTTAACAAGAGAAAAACAAAAAAAAAAAATTAAAGAGAATATTTAATTTAAATCAATGGATTTTTCTTTTTTTGAAAAGCAATTAAATAAGAACAAACTAATTCATGCACAATATACAATTACCAAACGTAATGTCCATCATTCTGGATCAACAATTGATTGTGGCATTTGCGGTCGCGAATAATGATCAACCAAAAATCATTGTAGGACTTTTATCTTTGCATATGCCCTTGGTAAATAACACCAGAAAATCCATAGGGTAGTAGAAATTCTCTATATTAACTCCATATTAACAATCACATCCTCGAGTATTCCCCTCCATGTCTTCACGGATCGAACAACAAGTTGTAATAACACACTTGTTGTTTTACATTCTCCAAGCTCGAACTTATCATACACCGATCCTGGTTGGATATACACACTAGCACCTATATCTAGCAAAGCTTTTTTAATACCAAAAATTCTCATAGTGACAGGGATGAGTAGTGCTCCAGGGTCCTTGCATTAATGCTTAGGGAACTAGATAGAATGGAACGAACATGTTCAATGACTTCGATCTTTTTGGGCATTAAAGTCTTCCGTCTATGCTATTGGGTACACAATTCTCTCAGGAATATGGAATAGGTCGGGATTTGCTTTATTGCATCTAGTAGTGGTAAGTTGATCACCTAGAGAAACATATCCATCATATCTTCACTTTTAGATTCTCTCTTTCGAAATGGAAATGTCGCAAATTGATTTAAGGTAGTAGATAATAGAACTATGGTTTCTTGATTAAGTAATTTAGAACCCCCGCCCCTCTCAATTTGAGATTCATCGACATTTGATGTACTCGGTCTGATTGGAATTTGATTGTATTTTAGGGATTCTACTCCCACTCAGTTTCTTTCTTTTTTCCCTTTCTTGTTTGAGAGCCTTCAACATTCTTTTCGAGAAGGAGGTCTAATTGACATCCACTACGCAAAGTAAAAATCTCATTTGTATGCTCATGACTTGGGTTTGGTTTAGTAATACTTGGAAGTATACCCCCCATCTCTTTTATTCAACTGTTTTTCCAGTTGACCAACTTGTTTCTCCAAAGCAACAATAAGTTTGGTTGTAGTGTGTGTTATTTGCATGTAATTTTCATCATCGTCTTCATATCTTCCATTTGTTATTTCAAGTGGTCACGATCCCTGTTTGTTATTGTCATTATTATTATTACCACTGAAGTTCAATTGACCTTCATTATGATGGTCTTGATTCTGGGATCGGGATTGAAATCATCGACCCACTTGATTATTTTTCCAAATGCAATTGGGATGCTTTTGCCATCAGTATTATAAGTATTGGAAAGTGGGTCTTGTTTATAATTTTCCGAACCCCTGTGAGTGTATGATCCATGCTAGGAGTGCATGATTCACGCTCTTAGAATGATACACTATGCAATCACTAGCAAAATGTGAGGAATCAGTGAGTGCATGAGTTTTGGATATGAGACACGTCATTTTGAATTCCGACCGACCCACCTAATAGGATATCTATATTTTTGGACAACTTAGTAATCTCACCCTTGAACTCTTTTCTTAACTCTCCTAACTCCTCAAGACTTCAACTGTTTGTTTCTAAGAATTTTCATGCCTCCTCATCAGTCTTTATCATCATAGTTCACCCACTTATGACATTAACTAGACCTCGGTGAATCGGGTCTAAGTCATCCAATAATGTCTTCACCAAGATCCATTTTGGGGTTACATGGTCAGGGCAAGAACAAAAAAGCTCTTTGAGTCACTCAAATTGGAGAATGTGGGGCGTATCTTCACAGTCTTGCTAACAAGGAAACACTCAGCTAAAAACTTCTTCTACATATCATCCCAGGTGAAAATTTTCTTTGGCTCAAGGGATATAAACCATTGTTTTGATCGCCCTTTTAGAGAATAGGAAAATAATATGAGCCGAAGGTATTCTCGGGTGAGACCCCGAATATTATTGGTATTGCAGATGTCGATAAATTCATATAAGTGGTTATATGGTTCTACTTTTCATAGGCCTTGAAAGTTTGGAAGCGACTGAATAACATGGAGTGAATATTATAGTAGGCATCCTCATCATCAGTAAGGATATCGGGGATGAGTTCTCGTATGCTCCGGGTTAGAAATAAGTTTCCAATGGAGGGTGATTTGGTGATGGTGCTGGTGGATGATCCATATCCGCAGTGTCACTCACTACATTTTTATGAATTTCAATTTTAGGCTCCTTGATTACAGGATCGCATTTCGGTTTCTTGTAATTCATGCACTCTAAATATTGGCAAATCTTTATAAGATCCAGTATGGTGCATGCAATTTTAGCATTAGGTAATATTTCCAATGAGATCGAACTTAAAACTACGTGGCAGGCAACTTATGAACACAAATTAACACTAAAAAAAACTCTAAATAAGAAAAGCACAGCAAAATGCAACTAAATAAAATCACACACAAAAAAGAAGAAATGAACAACCATGAAAGAATAAGCAAAGAAAATACGACTTACCCTACGCACGAGTAAACATACAAGCAACTGCAAAACTCACTCGAATGTAATGACTAACAATCTATTCAAAAGATATGCATTCAAATAGAAAAAAACACAAAATAATAAACTCAATTGCACTACTCCCGAACAACGACGTCAAAAACTTGTTGCACGTGTTGTTAAACGCACAAGGTATAAATATTAAACCAACTTAATCCAGTAAATGGATGAGTCGGGTATCGATCTTCTGAGGGAGTAAATAGTTATGCTAAAGATTTGTGTTAAACTGTCAGTGAGATATACCACTCAATTAAAGCTCAAGACTTAAAATTCAAATCTAGTTATCACAATTAACACTAACTCAATCAAACTTTGGAAAAATTTGCATTAAAACTAAAAGAACAAATAAATAGAAAATCTTTTGGGGTTTTTTAAAAGAAAATCTTAAAAACAAAAAAATTAGAAATCAAATTCTAACCATGCGAGAAAGTCAAAGTCAACTGTCAGTTACTAACACTGAGCGTTTCACAAATTCTATTAATTTTCACAAGACATTCAATCCTTATTGCATTGTT